TATAGATATAGATATAGATATAGATATAGATATAGATATAGATATAGATATAGATATAGATATAGATATAGATATAGATATAGATATAGATATAGATATAGATATAGATATAGATATAGATATAGATATAGATATAGATATAGATATAGATATAGATATAGATATAGATATAGATATAGATATAGATATAGATATAGATATAGATATAGATATAGATATAGATATAGATATAGATATAGATATAGATATAGATATAGATATAGATATAGATATAGATATAGATATAGATATAGATATAGATATAGATATAGATATAGATATAGATATAGATATAGATATAGATATAGATATAGATATAGATATAGATATAGATATAGACATAGCTGAACTTTCCCATTTCGAGTGTTATTCATAGGAATGTATTTACCCATATTTTCATATATACTTTGTTTTATTATTAACCTTTTTTTTGGAAATACTTTAAATCAAATTGGGTAATTTATATATATAACTCGATTAAAATGTAGTTAAAATAATATATAAAAAATGGATTGGGAAGCCCAGAAAAACCTAATTAGATCAACAAAGTAGAGTGAGAGAGAAAGTGAGCGGAAAAGAGAGCAAGAAGAGATAGGAAAATAACTGAACCCACTTAACAGATTAAATATGCATTATGTGTTATTTATCAGGCCAGTTATCAGGTGTCATTTTAGCCCAGTTATATATACGGAAGACAGCTTAATGTCTTTACCCTTGCAATAGAGTCTAAATGGGGCAATCTTCTCATAGACATACATATATGTTATTTTCGGGGTGAACAGAACTGGATAGGTCTTTATCGATAAATATCGATATACTATTTTGAGCACATCTCATTTAGAGGCAGCAAATTTGATGTGAGTATTGTTGTGATTACTCAATCAGATAATAAATTCGAGCGCAATTTGACAAACTATTTGTTGTTTATCTGCGTGTGTGTGTGTGTGTGTGTGGGTGTATATGTGTACATATGTGTTAGTATGTTTCGATTCAGGCATGCACTGAGTAACCACAAATGTGTAATGAGGGCGCCTGCTAGTTGGGCGCATTGGTAACTTTTAAGCTTGGCAAATATCTGAAACAGAAACAAATTGCCAATAATGTTGATTTGAATATATAATATACATATATATATATATGTATATATATATGCATAAGTGTACATATGTGAATTGGGTTATATTGGATTGCATAATATACACCATATATGGGATTATATATTGTGCTACGCACGCCATTAACGTATCGATCTCGCTGCCATCCGCGGTGTTCCTGGTGTGTCCTGAAAAGGTTGAGATGCGGCTGCCTTGTCGTATACTTAATGGCAGTCCTTGTAGTGCTCTTCTTTAGCTTGTTCCCATTCTTGTTGCTGTTGCTGCTGTTGCTGCTGTTGTTGTTGTTGTTGCTGCTGTTGTTGTAGCTGTCATGCGATGGGGCCAAGTTTGGCGAGGTGTCGAGCAGTCGAACAGTGAACTTTGTGCCAGGCATTATTTAGTCAAGCCTTCTAAAATCAACTTCGCGCGAAAGCCTGAAAAGTTGGAATATGTATTTGGCCGTGTTTTGATGTTGTTAATGTTGTTGTTGTTCTTGTTGTTGTTATTGTTGTTGTTGTTATTGTTATTGTTGTTATTGTTGCCAACGCACAAAAAGTTGTATGCCAGTTGATGCAATTTCCCCGTGCGAAAATTAACAAATACACACACACACACACACATACACACACACACACACACACACACACACACACACACACACACACACACACACACACACACTCACACACTCACACACACACACACATACTCATAGCACACCTCCAAATGAAAATGTGCGCTCGAGAATTCAATTTAAGCAGAGAAAACAAAGCCTGGACTTGAGCGGGGGCACGTTGTGTGTATGTGTGTGTGTGTGTGCGTAAGAGGTGTGTTGCATTGTTTGTTTGTTTGTTTACTTGAGGTTTTTTCCACGTTTTTGTAGTTTTGTAGTTTTCTAGTTTCTTTCGCTTTCGTATGCGGGCCAGCCGGAAGGAAGTGCAAGCGAGCAAACTGAACGCAGCACAAATACGCCCTGTGTGTTACCGAGCAGTAAGAGGGTAATGTGTTAGGTGTAGTCGAAGGGGGGGGAGGGGGGCTTGTGATTGTGATAGTGATTGTGATAGGGTGTGTCGTGTTGAGTTTTGGATTGGTTGTTGGCACGGGCCACAAGAAAGTGGGCCTCAGATGGTTGTTGCATTGCAGAAATTGGCACAAACGGATGCGAGCTGCTACGCTTACCCCTGCCACACTCCCCTCCACCACCACCCGCCCCACGCGCCATCCATTCTTATTTGTTTTGGCTTATTTATTGGGAAATTAAATGTTACATGGAAAACGCTCAGAGCTGTGGGGTAAATAAGAAAAGTGCTCGCAAGCCCCCAAAGAGATGGAATTAATATGCGAAAATTGAGCAGCTGGCAACAGCAGCAGCAGCATCAGCAGCAATAGTTTTGGCAACTGTTTGTGCCACACGCACTTGGCACTTGCAACCCTTTTGTGTAGCATTCAACAGCCAATATATGTAGCTAAAGATACAGATACAGATACAGATAGAGATACAGATAGAGATACAGATACGGAGATATCTGCATTGCTTGTATCCGCATCATAGTCCTAGACCATAAGCAAACACAAATGATGGCAATCTGTTAGTATAACCAGTCAGCCTTCCCCCTTTGCACCCTTTGTGGCCCGCCAAACCCTTTCGCGTCTTTGGACTGCCATCGTCTGTGCACAATGCTGGCCAAATTTATATTATTAATGCCTGTTTATCTACATGCGACGACGACGTCGCCCCCATAGATACGACTACGCTAACAACCAACGTGCAACTCAAACAAACAACTATCCCCCGTTTTCCGTTTCCCCTTTCCCCACTTCCCACTCACCCCTTACCCCTTACCCCTTATCCCTTATCCATCCGCACAACACATTCTCTTCGCTGCTGCTGTTGTTGTCTTTGTCTTTATATACGCTGTTTTATGAGCCTCAATTAATTTCCGCGTAAACAGCGCGAGTTCTCCAACAAACACCCATACACACCCATACACACACCCATACACACACACACACACACACATGTATATATGTACATATATATTTAGAAGGAGTAAACAGTGGAAATGTTAAAGTGACGGAAACATTGATGAAATTGTTAACTTTCATTGTTGGCTTACATCATTTAATATTCAACATATTATTATATATTTTTCTATTTATTTCTAATCTTTTCATTTTATATCTTAATTCTCATACATTATATCTGATATCTTAAAGTTGAAGGTATTACTCTGACTTCTGAATATCCCACTCGCAATCACAAGTTTCTATATATGTATATATATATATACACTGTATAGCATGTTAAGTTGCATTACATCATGGCATGATTCTATTCTTTTTCTTTAGAATTAAGCTTACTCAGACTGGGAATATTACTCACTTTAAATGATTTAATAGTGGGATTTTGCACAGTGTTCGGCTGCAGTTTAAGGTTTGAGTTAATCATCATTTCACATTCACATTCACATTCACATTCGTATTCACATTCGTATTCACATTCGCTTTTGTATTAGTAACTACATTTGTCCCATTAGTGGCAACAGCTCGACACACAATTTTATCATGTTAATTCGCACTAATGACGACCAGCGCGGGCTACGCCAGAGTATTCGACTGCCAAATACCCTATAAATACAACTTTCTTTCATCCATCATATCTGTGTTGTTTTTTGTTTTATTTATGTATTCATTGCTGTTTATTTATACTTTTCGTAGCTGCAAACTTTGCAATCGATATTGTTGGCAATCATTTATAAATACTTTTTCAAGTCTGAAATACTTTTTCGAAGCGAGGTGTTGAAGACCGCAAAATACTAATTAACAGTCAGGTAATAAATATTTTGACGGGAAATATTTGCAAATGTTAACAATATTTATCGGCGCCAGATCTGAAATGCTCTAACATATTTAGAGCTTATTGATTAGCAAATTCTCTACAAAATGTTTCACAGACACAGCCCAGGTCGAATATATATTAATATATATATAAATATATATATATGTATGTATATATATATGTGTGTATAAATATTGATTTGTTCCAAACGTTCAAAATGTTTGACAGACGCAGACTGTTGGCTAAGATAAATATATAAATATATATATATAATTGAAAAGCTTTTCGGAAGCTTTCCGTTGTTAATACGTAAATGCGGATATATATATATATAGATTATGTATCTGTTATATAATGATAGCATGTCTAGAGCTTGTATACATTCTTTTTATGATAGTCTATAACGAAAGTCCATAATCAAACTGCCTTTGAACCCCCCTCCCTTCGCAGCTATACCCCCCATCGGCACTATTCTAGCGAAAAATGCGCGAGCCACGCATCCGCTGCGATTAACAGTTTTTGATAAACAGAACTAAACCAATAAACAAACAAAAACATGAAAAAACAAAATTAATAAACCGCAAATATTTATGTTTGTAGAGCCTACACAGAGAGAAATATGCGTTGCAAATATATCGTTTTCTATGGCAAAAGAAGAAGTTGTTTTGTCCTGCGAATTGCAATTAGCCAAGAACATTTTATTTTATATTTTATTTGTTTGCTAAATATTAAAAAGTACATTTTAAAAAATAAATCAATATTTGAACTTGTTGCAATGTTGACAATTCTTAACAATGTAGATTTATTGCTAATTTTTCTGTCTGTGTAATTACGTAGGCAGAGCTGAAAATCAAGCAGAAAAAAAGCTCGTGAAAAGTTCTTATCGACTGATCGATAATAGTTGAAGGAGTGGGTGCATTATGTACATATGTGTCGTCCAACAGGGGTGGGTAGAGAAGGGTACCTGCGAAGCGAAAGCTTCCCTGGCTGCGTATGGCGAGGTCGGCCGACGTGACCAACGGCACAACAGCCGGCGAAAGCTTGCCGCGAACGGAGTCGCTATCCGCTGCGAATTCGCCGCTGGTATATAAGGCGTCAAGCAGGGCGCCTACTGCAAATACGTTTGTTGGTTCGCCTTGCTCGCTTCGTCGTTCCGTTCGCTACTCGACTCGCAACTCGCAGCTCACAGCTCCCAGCACCCAGCTCCCAGCTCACAGTTGACAAAATCACAGTTCGCAATATGTGGTCCAAGGTAGCCATTGTTGGTGCTCTGCTCGTGATGGGCGGCACCCTCGCCGTCAGCGTTGGGGACAACTTTGCGTATGTGGATCGTTCTCTGGAAGTGGCCATGCCCAAGGCGAAGCGTCATGCGGCGCAGGATTGATGGCGACGGTTCAGGATGCGCAACTAGTACCAATTTGACAGTGCCACACAACCTGATCTAGTTCATTAAGTAATCATCCAAATTGTTATTGTGAACAGTTTTCAATTGTTAAATAATTCTATAGTATCGCTATACTCGCTTGCCACTGTGCACAGTTCAAGTGAACTATAAGCGTGAACCAGTTCTTCATATCCCCCATGCCTCCTGCCGACACGAACAACTGTCAGACACCTATTTTTTTTTTGTTTTTTTTTTCTGTTTAGCTTGTAGCTTTAGCCGCTTAAGTTCCTCCAGTATAAACACAAATGCATGTTTGTAAATAGTTAATAAAGAAATAAAAGTACGTTAATCGAAAGAACCAAGAAAATGTACAGAACTCATACACAACTCAACTCAACTCAACTCAACTAGTGCGACACGCCTTTCAATGCTGATCAAGTATATAGATATATATATATATATGTATTATTATTTTGTTTGCTTCACACTCCACGACAAAATTATAGTACCTGCTTGCAAGTTAAATAGTTTTCTGCGTTAAAAGCAAAGATAAGAAAGTATCTCATTTGAATGAATGTCAGCTGTAAATCGATATTCCCAATTCCCCTTGGAAATGTGAGTATAAATAATGTATATATATATATATATATATATATATATATATGTATATACACACAAGCTAAATTCCTCATATTCCAGCTTTGTTTGCCTGCCACTAGTCGTGAGTCAAAGGTCAATGCGGACACACACACGCACACACACACACACACACACACGCACATGAGCTTTTACAGTTTGGTAATTAAACTGTTAATTGTCACATTATAAAAATAGACATATATATGGGCGAGGACATCGTTTGCTTAGTCCTTATCTTAATGCTCATATTTATTTAAGTTTTCTAAAAATTTTCATTCAGTTAGTTTGTGACCAGCAGCGTGTGTGAGTGCAAGTGGAAGGGGCATGGGGCATGGAGGAGGGGAAAATAACGCACAACTTGCCACAGGACTCTGTCCGAAATCTGTGGGCGCACTAAAAATGACTGGCAAGCCGCAAATACTTTGTCAGGATCAAGTTGACACTCGTTTGCCCGTCGGTTTGGTTGGCCCGGCCCAGTTCGGCCATAAGCCCGACCCTGTCCGACTGACGGTTGATGGTTGCAGGTCGCATGCCCCCAAAAACAGCGAGCTATGTGTGTGGCATAGGCCGTCGCCCGCATTTGACACTCTTTCCTCCCCCATCCCCCATCTCCCACCCCTCCCCAACATTTGTTTTGTTTGTTGCCACACAAATGGATGTGTCTATGGCAATGTGTGTGCATGTGTGTGTGTGTCTGTGTGTGTATGTGTGTGTGTGGGGGCATTTTGCCAGAACAGATTGTTGAAGATTTGATTTTGGGCAGCCACCCAGTGGCCGGCACAATCGTTAATCTAATGAAAGATGACGTTCGCTGGGCGAGCGGCAACAAAATTTTGAGTAGTTGCCACTGCCAAAGACATCCCATCTCCACCTCCAGTTCCAGTTCCAGTTCCAGCTCCAACTCTAGCTCCACTTGCAGCTTGAAGTACACTTTAAAAAACTGGTTGACTTAACTGCATGGAAACTTCCATTTTAAATATAAATAATAAATAAATAAAATAATGAGTAAAAAAATTAAAATTGTTTTTTGTTTTAATGGCATTTTATTAAATATAAATAAATATATATAAATATATATATATATATATGGGTAAGAATATGGGGTAAACTTTGGGATAAAATTGGTATATAATTAAAGATGAAATACTTGGAAATTCTAATCTGGTTAATACAACTTTTACCTCGTGTCAAATGTAATTAATCTTTTTATTCATTTTCAGTTCAATATTCAGAGAAACTGCTGCAATTTTGTGCAGTGTAGAGTCGAATGCGGATGCTGCTGTGTGGACTGCCAGTACTTCATCCGCTTTGGTCTGCGGCTGTTTGCTAATCATTCATCATTCCTGGCTCGCCTCGGGTCCTGATGAGTAAGCGGCAAGTAAAACAAAGCATCGCCACACAGTTGAGGTGGGCGGGGGGATGGTTGTTAAGGGGTTAGTTGGGCTGGAGTGGGTTGTGAGGTAGGGGTTAGTGTCATTGTAGGAATATTAGTTGGCTCTATGGCTGGAGATGCTGCAGCATTTGATACTCCTAGCAGTTACCAGCTCACCTGGCACCTGGTCAAAGTTCAATCGCTCGTCCTGTGTCGACTTACCAAAGACCACACACAAACAAACACCCACACACACACACACACACAGCCACACACACACACACACACACAACACACAAATTTGCACAAAATTTGCAAATTAACGAGTCTTTCGAGCAGACACGCCCACTGTGGAGCCCACTGTTAGCAGCAACAGCTCCTGCACCTGCACCACCACTTGTCGCGAACGAGCCCAATAAAATTTGATTAGTCTCGTTCGCAGCAATAGCAGCAACAGCCACTGCTGGCAGTGGCAGTGGCAGTGGCAAATCCTTTAAGTTCTCAAGATTGCAGCTGCCCCGAAATGGGGGCGAGCCATATGAGAATTGATGCTTGCCACAAACAGTTTGGGGCTCAGATAGAGATATAGAGATTTGGCTCTGCTCCCTTCCTTTTAAATGTGCAACCACTTCACTTGCTGCTGCTGCTGCTGGAGAGGGAAAGAGACAGCTAGATGTGTATTGTATATTCATGGCATGGATGGCCTGGTGGCAGGACACTCAAACGTGGCCCGAGGCCGAGCCGGCCAACTTGGGTTAATTTACATTATAAACTTTGAATATTTTATTGTTTGTCTAGGAAAGGACACAGCTGGCGGCAGCAGCAAGCAGCAAGCAGCAACAGTAGCAGCAGCATCGCCTCATCGCCTCATCGTTGTCAGTCCGTCTTTCCGTCTGCCTTGTGCACTTGGAGAAATAATCGAGCGCTGTGCTGAGCTGGCTAAGCTGCTTTGTTTTTCGCACAGTGTATGCCTCAAAGTGTGCCCTGCCTTGTTTCCTCTTTTAACAATAAAAATAAATTTCAGTTGCATTTTGTTTATTGCTTTTTTTTCTGAGCGTGTGTTTCGGTGGGCGTGGCCAGTCTGCTGCTGCTGCTGCTGCTGCTGAGACCATTTGTTGACACTTGCCGATACACGATGGGAGGCAGTGTGGAGTGGCAGTGGGGAGGAATCGAGGCTGATGCGTTTTGCTGATTTAATGACGACATATTGAACAGTTTTGGGTAAATTATGCGACTGTGCTCAGTGTAGGACTCACCGGCCCAGGCCAGGCATGCCAGCCAGTCACCTGTCCTGCCCTCTACTCAGCTAGCTGCTCGTGGTCTTCATTGCGTTGTCATCATTGGCATTAACATTAGCGTTGCCAGGCTTTGGGGCATCGAGTTACTAAATAATTAAGCAGTCTCCCCCTGACACCTAGTAAACCCAACCAAATCAACCACAGTTTTACGAAGCAAGGCCAACAGACGGGGCAGGCGGGCGGGGCAGCTTTACAATTACAATTACAATTACAATTTGAAATTTTGAAAATGCAAATGGATTGGAATTGAAGCTGTTAGTTTTGTTAATCAATTCGGCGAAAGAATAATTGATATTGAGAATTTGTAATTTTTATTGTTTCGTCCGGCAACATAAACATTTCAATTGATAGTTGCTACAACAACAGTTTAATAAATATCATAAACAATTAACAACATTTATGGTACTTCCATCAAGAAAGCAGCCTAACTGAAAAAAACCAGTTTGCGTAGAAAGAGGCAGACGAATAGACTCATGATGACACTCACGAATATATATATATATATATATATATAGTGCCAGTCATGTCTTCTTCAATTCATTGCGCACTTTACAACATAATTATAAGCCGAGTGTATCTTAATAAAGAGCCCAAATCTTGGTCACATCTCTTGCACTATGCTGCAGATGTTCCTCCACAACTTAGACACATATTCGATCAAGTTTTGCATATCATTTCAAATATTTGAAAATAGTTTTCGTTAATACAGTCTCAAGAAATGTGCGAAAGCAATTTGTGATTTTATTAAATATTGTTTTAGCTGAGCTCTTCATTGCCTGCTGGTGTCAAAAAATCACAAAACTTTTACGCAAACTGTCAACATATTTCTTTGCTTATTTAATTCGGATTTTATACACAGACACACACACACACACACACACACACACACACACACACACACACACACACACACACACACACACACACACACACACAACTGCCATCAGTTAGTCAGGTGCAAAGTCTACTTTATGTTTTAAATACGTTTTTTTTTGTGATGCAATTTTTGTGTGGCACCCTTTTGCCTAAGCATAAGTCTGGGGATTCCCCCAAGTTTGGAGACTGAACAATAAAAATACGAGACAATTTAATCTGCTATTTGCTGTAGTTTTTGTTGTTGTTGTTGCTGTTGTTGTTATACCTCTCTCTTTCTCGCTGCTTCACTCTATTTCTCTCTCTGTCTCTGTCTCCAGCTGCAGTTTATTTTGTGCTTTAATCCCAGAAATACGCGCAACGCACGTGCTCCAAAACCGAACCCAAAACCCAAACGCAGGTCGAGCAAGGAGCAAGGAGTACAATGCGTGCAACATGTACGCTGGTTGCAAGGAGCACATCCTTTCGCTTCGCACCTTGGCGGAATTAGACTGTTGTCTTCTGCTCAACACGCACCTGACCAAATAAATAATTTATAAATGTTTGTTATGCAAGGATTAGCAAAGGATTGCGCTGCCTTTACCCCCTCTCTCTCTCTCTCTCTCTCTCTCTCTTTCTCCGCTTCTGCCTGTCTGCCTGTCTGTCTTTGCTGCTTGGTTGCACCATTTAGGAAACTCATAGTTCATCACTTGCCCCTTGTCCCCGGTTGCCCCTCTGAAGTGGAAAACTCATTTAAAGAAATGTTTTCATTTTTTATCGCAGCCTTCGCATCGAAATTAGCCACACAAAACTGGAATAAAATGGAATGGAATGGAATAAAAAAGAATGGAATGGCATGGAATGAAATGCTCGAATGCTCGAATGCATAGAATTCTCGCATAATAAATTATAATGCAAATCCGCGCTTAAGATCACAACAACAGCAGCGGAAAAACAGGGCGTTTAAGTGAACATCGCCTCTCTCCCGCTTCCCCCTCCCCATCCCGACCCCTCGCCAAGGCCTCCGTTTCCCCATCACCTTGCTTAGCGCAACCCCAATTGCCCAACGATTTGACTGGGTCCACGGTTTTCTTTTTTTAACGCTTTTTTCTCACATTTTGTGTCACTTTTTTGTTTTTTGTCGCTCTGCGGCCGCCATTTAAAATGATAAAAATCGCAAACAATTTTTGCCCGGAC